ATATATATATATATATATATATAAATTTAATAATAAAAGAATAATTCTAATTATATAATTATAAATATTTTAGAATTTAGTATTTTATTTATTTACTTATTTTTATTTACACAAAATACTCCTGGATTTTAGTATCTGACTGTAAAAAAAAACGTTTTATACTAATGCCCACTATAGCATCCCATAACAGTAACAGCAATGCTGATATATAGGGCCTTATGCATATTATAATGCATTCCAACAATGATGCATGAAACCAAGTGTTTGCATTCACATACTTGTGTAGAACATGTTTCGGGCCTTAGTCCATACTTGGTTTAACTATTCATTAAAAGCATACTGATAATCACATTAAACTGTGGTGTAGCGCATTGGGACACTAATTCCAACAAGTGCCCTTTGACCCAAACAGGACACGTTAATGGGCAACTAAACTGGGTGAGCTGGGACATCTTAACCCATTCAGAAAACAGAAGATAGCAGAACATAGGGAGAGGTCAACACTGTGAAACTGCTTCGGTGTGACAGAGTATGGCAACCCCCTGGGGACACAAGACAAACACACAGAGTGCATGCTTAAACACAGCATCACAGGAATGAGGCAAAGGTCAGCACTGACAGGTGGCTGGAGAAAACATCACATTCTTCCACTCAAGCATTTATCTGTAATTCATCCAGCATCCACGGCTGCGTAGCTTGACAGGATGTGTGTGTGCATAAGATAAGTTTTGTGTGTGTGTGTGTGTGTGAACAGCATTAAATGCATTCTTTTGTGTGTGAACATGTACATATAAACATGGGCCATGTACACACTATAAAGTTTCAGGAGTGACAAACATTTAAAGAGTGAATGAATCCCCTAAATTATCATTTTATGCATGCACGAAACAGCATCTTGCATGTCTGGTATCCACTATTTTTGACCAAAGCAATATTACAGCGACCAAAGACTTTTTCTATGTTCTATGTTTCAAGTTATGTTTGGCTATATTAACTAAACACCGTTGACAGAGCCTTCATGTTTTGTTTATGTTTGGAAGAATACTTTGCAGAGCACACTCTTGAAATGTTGCCATGTCTGCTTATTAACGTTTTGGCTTGTTGTGTAGGCTCATAAAGTAAAGCAAATTCATTTTATGCAATTAATAAAGCAGGCAGGTGCAGGTTGTGAAATTTTGGCATATGGCTTAGTTTTAGGATAATGCAATTGGATTTAAGTTTATTATAGACGTGTACTTATTTGCCATTCTTTTATAGTAAGATCTGGCAACATTAAGGAGCTGTTTCCTGTGATTTCTTGCATCAAATCTCTTATACATATTTAAATACGTCATTAACAGAATTCCTGTACAGTAAATGTCACTACCTGAATTTTTCAAGAGCTAATTTGGTTGTAAAATGCAGTTGTCACTCCTGTAAATTACTGAACTGTCTGTGAACAGAACTAAAGGACTAAAAGGTGAATTGATATCCGAATTTAGCTGCAGTGTATGCCATACTTTAAACATCCTCAGATCGAAAACCTTTGCTGTTCCAAGAACAACACTCCTATTAACCAATCATAGCCAACCGTATCCATTGTCTCTAAATCCAACCCCTATATTCCTAACCCTTACCCCCAATTTTCAACCTTAAAACCCATCTCAACCATTCCCAATCCAGTTCAAACCCCTCCTAAATGTTTACCCTAAATCCTAACCTCTATTTTTCAACACCTAACCTCTTAACATCTTAATCCTCACTTAACCTTGACCTCAAACCTCATCCCTCAACCCTAAATCCTAAACTCTACTTTCACCCATCTTACTGGTTCAAATTCTTAACCTTAAACCATATCTCTAGCCCACTGGTTGATAAATGTCATTCCAACCCTAACTACCACTTTGTCACCATATTGCTTTGTTTCTAGGTGCTCCAAGTTCTGTTTGGCCTACTAATGGTTATGAACATCACAACCACTACAATTGATTCCATGCCATTCCATGTTGACATCAAATTAGTTTCTACACCACTAAAACCAACATTTTGGAGAGAAACGTTTATATATAAATTTCACCAATGCTCAATGCTTAAAACAAAATCATGGCAAAAGTTAATGGCATTGCCCTCTTATTGTGCACAACATAAGAAAAAAAAACTGATTAAAAGGGTCAAATACAATATGACAAAAGAAAAGTAAATAAAAATAAATTAAATGGGTATATTATTAATCAAATAGGCCTAAACATGCATTGGAAAGCAATTATACCAGACTGATTTTCCAGAAGCCAACCCCGCATGCACATCAAAAAGCTTTCAGCTACTAAGAGAATGAAGATGTCGAAGAGACAACTATTTACAACTTCAAGCAAAAGATTATCATATCAAACTCATGTTAATTCCATCGTTTATGCAGATTTGGACCTCCATCTCTAGGTCAGTTTCAACTTTCAGGAAATCAAAAGGCTCAGACAAAACATACTTCATTCTTATTACTCAACCCAATTCCTGATAGGATCTTATCACCTGTTTTCCCTTTAGAGGGCGAATAATGTTGGAATATCCATTTGGGAAAAGCAATACAGTTAGATGTGTTTCTAATGTACAACCTAAACACACACACACACACACACCTGTGGCCCATCATTCATAGCTTACAGAGACTTTGCAGTTTCTTTTTGTCTTTCTCACGCACACGCAGTTAAACCTCATTATTCTCGCAGTCAGTAAAGCTTACGTCTTTCCTCGTGTAACATCAGACCCTGAAGACATTTCATTACATACAAAAACTCTCTCACACGCTCTCCTCCCACCATCCCGTAATCCAATCACAGCGCTGCTAATGCACCTCTCTAATGCAATCAGCCAATCAGAGCATCCACTGTGGCCTCGCTGGTCACATGACACCCCGGCCCAGGCCTGTGCGAAGAACCATGTCAGGCTAATGCTATTTTAATGCATTTCTTAATGCAATTTAGCATTAGCTGCACAACCTCCCCCCTCCCGACTCCGATTCTGCCCCACTGGACACCACAAATCAATTTCTGACATTTCTAAAGAGACGATGATCCCCGTGTTGGCACTGAGGAAGAGGGATAATGACAGCCTAATGTGATTTGTGAGCGCAGGCTAGTCCTGAAACAGGCTGGCCTCCCTTCACTTCCCCTTAACCAACATGCATTACTATTGGGGCTAATAGGCCACATTAAGACATATGGAGCCAAAATGTCCTATAATTGTAGAGCTCTTCAGTTACAGGTTTCCAGCTACAGTAGCCTAATGGCCAAGACTTCACATTCATGACAAGACTGGAAGTTTGTCACAATATATGAGAGAAACATCTTTAGTGTGTTTCCAGATCAGGTAATCCATGATTGCATGTGTTTGTAGATTCAAAGGGATATGAAATTCTGGTCATTATTTACTCACCCTCATGTGTTTCTTTTTAAACGCCAAATAAGAGTTCTTGACAAAGAAGATTTTAAGTCAAACAAGATTTCAATGAATAACAACTTAATTTTTGCTCTGTTCCTCACACAATGCTACTGTATGGCTTCAGAAGAATATAGTGCATGATTTATAATGGTGCCCCTGGTCTCCATATAACTGTATGGAAGTGAGCAGCTTGGGCATTTGGCTAAATGTCTTCTTTTGTGTTCCACAGAAGAAAGTAAGTCATACAGTTTAAAAAAATGATATAAGGGTGAGTAAATAATGAAAATTTAAATTTTTGTCATTTAAAAAAAGAAATTATTGTATATGTATTATAGTGTGTGTGTAAGCTGTATTATTGTGTATGTATAACAATACTTAAGACAGAGGAAAAACAACAAAATATTTATGTTCAAATAAATAAAATACCATAAAATAAAATAACAAAATAATAATAGATACCTGTTGCACAATAATTTTGAGTGTGTTATTCTGAACTCACTTAAACTTGGCGTTGACCTCGTCTGCTGCCTTGTGATAGTTTTCATCTGTAACCTTGTAGAACTGGGCACTCTGAGGAAGAGAAAGACAGAGAAGATGTGTGTCAAAAAAATAAAAGCTTTTATTGTATGTACATTCTTATTGCCTCTGTTGTCTCCTTCAGTATGAACAGAGATCAGAGAACATTTATAGACATAAAAAGCTCACACAAAAATTCAAAACAGCAGCAGGTTCAACCCTGCTGAGTCTCAACATTTCTCTGCAACCAGTACAAGAGAAAAAAACCCTCAGTGAAAATATAAATTAAGCATTTTTGTTGTCCGTGCAGCACAAAGAGTTTTGCTCGCTTTCAGATTTCAAAGATGGGTGGAAATCAAAGAAAAAGTGTCAACAAAGATGAAAAGGTCATCACACTAACAGATGATGGCAATCTAAAACCTTATGAGGTTCTTAGTGAAGTGTGTCAAGAGTAGGTGGGCAAAAAAAATGTCCCTGCAACCTGGAATGGATCTTGATAAAGCTTTTGGTTCGACGATTCAAAAAGATAACTGACATTTCAAAGAAAATGGGCAGAATGTCAGATGTATGACTGAATTTGAGGATGTGACAACAAAAACTTGCTCAAGCTACATCCATAAAGAGAGCTCTCAATCACAGCCAGACAGGTTCATCTCACATTCACTGTCTCACACACACAATCAATACAAATGAAAGGCTACAACCATGAGGATCAATAATTATATCTTAGGCTTTTAGTGAAGCTACTGTATAGCTTCTGATGGACTGCGCGTCAAGTAGAAATAATTTGTCTAGTGTCCATCAGAGATGTGGTACGAGTCCAAAATCAGCTTCCTGTCAAACATACCAATGGTTAGTAGAGAGATAATTTACCATAGAAGACCATTAACAATATTTACTAGCCAGAAAAAAAGTATTATAATTTTTTATATAACATTTATTTACTTTATTAATAAAATATATTTAAATAATGATATTTAAGGCAAAAAAGTATAAATGTAATGGAAAAAAATGCTAAATTTTGTGCAAAAAAAAAAAGAAAAACACAAAATAAAAATATAAAAATTAGTTACCAGCTAATAGTTACCAGCTAATGATGGTTTTATTTTCTTGCCAAGGCAAAACATTTGGTCCTTGCTTGAAAGTGTGGTTTTGGACCCTTTGTGGAACTACAGTATTACAATATGGGATGTAGGAAGTTGTGAACAGCCATCTTGCACAGTAGCAAAGTTCCAAAATAATGTTTTATTTCCCCCTGAGTGGATGTTGACAAGTCTGCCATCAAGCCTATTATTGGAACAACAGCTCTGAGCGTTAAAGACGAGATCAGGTATAAGCTTGACTCCGAGGGGTCTGATATAAGGGAACAACAGCAGTGATTTTAAGAGCATGTTGTGATGATGCAGATCTGATGGGAGGAGTCAGTAGTAATCAGGGCTACACACTAAAAAGGCACTGGCCTGCAGCAGAAATTGATTACGTGGAAAGTGAGTTGGACCTCCAACCACATGCTCTAAAACCACATGACCTGAGCGACGGTGTAATTTGGGAGGTCTGCCATTTCCCTTGATTAATGACAGAGTGGGATAGGTGCTGATTTTGATTTCAGAGTTGGGCCACACTGATTTAGAGGCCCCTCCATCAATCTGAGAGCAAACGTTTACCACCCACATGCTCTCTCGCGAAACCCTAAACCCTCATCTTCATCTGCCATAGCCAGAGTAGACTGTAATCAGACTATGATTACAAAACCTGATCTTATACATCTTAACAATAATTTTCAAAAAAGTTTTAAAAGTTTTAGAACATGAATTTTTCAAGCTGAAAAGTGTTAATTTTTTTATTTCATAAATATTAGCATTTTGAAAACTCTGACATTGGCATTTCACAACCTGAACTAACTTAGCCTTGTCACGAAAAGAGCAAATAATCTAGAATTTTAAAAGGCTTAACACAGTGGTAAAGGTTTTCAGGAGTTGTCTCTATGATGAGTTCGTTAGACCACACGACTTTGATTTTGCTTTTATTAGTAAAACAGTTTTGTCTGTTGGACCACATGAATGTGTTTGTCACAACACATTACTATGATTTTGCTTTTATTATTAAAACACAATGTCTTATGTTTTGCTTTTATTATTAAACAGTTTTGTCTGTTGGACCACATGAATGTGTTTGTCACAACACATGCCTTGATTTTGCAAAAGTGTTTTATTATTTATTGTATATTTAAATAATGATAATTAAAAACTCTTGTCTGCTGGTTGCACCACAACTTTATTATGATATGATTTTGCAAAGTTATGTGATCTTACATCATATATCATATCATATCATAACGTCATATATCATATCAGTCTTTGATTTTGCGAACAAGTTTTATTATTTCTTCTGATGTACTGAACAAATCTAAAATACAAATATACAATTATTATTTCTTATTATTTCTAATATAATTCCTGAAGAATCAAAGTCAAGTGGCACGACCAACAGACTCATGTGGTCCAGCTAACTTATTGAGCAGCTTTATTTTGCAGATAAAAATGTTTTATTATTGCTTGCTATATATATTTAAGAAATACTAATATCTTTTATCTGTGAAATCAAAGTCACGTGGTGCAACTACATTTTTACAGCGAGGCTTTGATTTTGCTAAAGTGTTTTTCCCTTTGTTCTTATAAGAAATAATAATAAAACAGGTTTGTCTGCAAAATCAGTTGTGAGGTACCACCAACAAGTCAAGTTATGTGGCACGACCAACAAAGTGATGTGATCCAACAGACAGAAGTGTTTTAATAGTAAAACACTTTTGTCTGCAAATCAAAGTCATGTGGTGCAACTAACAAAGTCATGTGGTCCAACTATGATATATGATGTTATAATGTTGCAGTTGTACTACCCTGACATTTTTAAAGTCAAAATAGCCTCATGATTTTAGGTACTGTATCATTCAAAGCCTTAGCAAGCACTGCTAAAGAATCCAGTCCTTTACCTGTTCAACAAAGCAGCTGTCAGACTCCTTTCTCACCTTCTGTTTACAGGCATCTAAAAATAAAACTTTATTTAATCTGGTGCACACAGGGGTATTATGGACTAATGAAAGAATCTCCTAAAAGCTACTCCTGCCACTGACGGTGCATATAGGTGGTGTTTTGAGAAACAACCCCATGTTCAAATTAAATCTCGCAGGCTTTATAATGAGAGACCTGAGCAGTGGTGCAGTAATCAGCAGGCTGTGTTATCTCTCACAGACCAGAGAGGATGTGGAGGGAAACCCCCGCTGAGACAGCCATTATGCCTCAACAGCACGGCGGCCATATTGGCTCTGCAGTGCACCGGCGGAGGCGCGAGACCGAGTTTTAACAAATCAAAGCTGGTGAATGCAAATAGGGAAGGAAAGCAGAACAGAGGCCTGTGGAGTCAATCCTTCCATCACTGCCTCATACTGCGAGAGACTGTGAAACAAAACAGACGAGTGGAAATGTCGCAAACAAGCACAAACACTGTAATTCAATTGCATTGCATTAAACATCCAGTCCAAGCATGGAAAACATTTTTAAAGTGACATATTGGTGACATTTCAACTCATATGGGTTTGGAACGACATGATGGTGAACAAATGATAATACATTTTTAAGTATTCAAATTTGTACTTTGCTTGTGGCTGTCTGGAAGTAAAAAACAAGGGGACATGAGTGTGAACGCAAAGCTCAAACTGTGTCTCTTGACTAGATAAAACTCGGCTAATTAAATAAACGAGGCCTCGTGCAGAGACAGACTCTGTCCCTTTCCAGTGTCTCGTCTACAGTGAGGAAGAGATAATGACCACACACTGATCTCAAATAAAACAACACACACTCTTCACTTAACAATGCTGTCAGTAAGCACTGGAAACAGAAAGACAAGAGTCTTACATGCAGAGAAGAGCGATTTACATTCAAATCCATGTCTAGCCTCACTACGGGTTACTACGACCACATCATATAGTGTTGCTAGGTAACAGCCCCTGAGAGTCTGAATCAAAGCTTTGAATGAAGAGTAAGTTGTAAACTAAAGTTATGATAAAAAATGTATACATTTTTATTATGGATTCAATGTACTCTGACATAGGAATAGGTTGACCAGTAAGAATTTCAGGACATACGGTTCCAGTTGTGCTCTTCAAAATGTAATGGGATTGAGAACTGATTTAAAAAAAAAAAAATTTATTATGATTTTTTTTTATGAAAAATAAAATTAAAAAATAAAATAAAATAATCCTGTTTGTTGGCAGATGGGGGGAAAACGGATCATTCAATTATTCATTATTACTACTGATTCATGATACTACTACTACTACTACTAATAATAATAATAATAAGGATAACAATAATCAACACAATTAACAATCAATAATTATTTTTTAATCCCCATAAATTATACACTTCAAACCCAGATTAGGAAAACATTCCCACATTGTTTTTTTTTTGGTAATAAATGGTACTTTAATTGAATTTAAGAAATATTCCAATATTACAGAATTACAACAGACTCACAACTTTTGTTACCAAATAAAAGAACACTGAGCTGCAGGTGAAATGCACTATGGGAATTTTATCACTGACACTGACTGGCTTGGTATGCGATCAAAGTTATTATTATTTTCTTACACATTATCAAGCCAGACCATAACAATGGAAAAAAGGAAGAAGTGTTAAAGGAAAAAAGAAAAAAGAAAAAAAAAAACCTTCTAATTCTGAACAGGCAAACATACAGCCAAAGCCACTGCAGTCAAGTGCCCTTGAGGTCATTTAAATGCCATCGATCAGGCTAAAAACACTGTATTAGCAGCTTTTTTCAACACCTCAGACTTCAGGCCTCCAACTGTGATCATGGAGCATTATGAGAAAGACACCAAACTACTAATAACTCAATTGAGGAGAAAACCCCCCTGAAAAGAACTACTGAAAAAAAGCAGAGCGCTCAGTTGAAATATGAGATTGTTTTACAGAAAGTATTGAGTGAAAATCTGTGGCGAATATATATGTACAGTACATATATAGTTATTGTTTCGAAGGCAATTTGAGTGGCCGCACCAATAAGTAGGCTGGAGGTGGCAGCCGCCGTCTCAGAGCTGTGATGGGCTGTCAGACACAAGCCACTGATAAACGAGCAAACTGAATCGAAAGAGACATGTAATATATATAAGCATTTTATTCTCTTCTCTCTCTCTATCTCTCATTCGCTCTCTTTTTCCTTTTCGCTACTGGTACTGTTACAGTCCAAAGGCTAGGGAAAACTGCAGTAGAGAGGAGAGACCAAGAGGAAACAGTAAAAACAAAAACACTATATTGTGTTATATTCAAAATCAATCCATTGCTTCCCAAAATGATTTGTTAAGTTGCTACAAACAACATTTTTAGTCACATTCTCTTAGTGCTGGGCGGTATACCGGTTCATACCGAATACCGGTGTTTATTTTTGTTATGATATGACTTTTTAAAATACCGCAATACCGGTGTATGTCGCTTAAACAACGTTCGGAACGCGACACTGTTTGAAAGGGGTCCCTTTTCACTGTTGCACTGTGGTGAGCGAACAGCTGTATGTGATACTAAGCGTGAAAGTTCCGAAACGGAAGCTGTAGAACTAATAGAACGTGATAACACAGAAGAACTCATCCACAATATCCACACTGACCGCCACAAATATCCACCGCACCTGCCATCAGCTACCGCGTCTCACACACACACACGAGCGCGACTTTAGCAACTTTCAGACCCTTTTAGCATTTTCTCTCTCTCCTTTTTTGTTACGTGAAAGATTTTGAAGAATATACTGGTTGCTCTTTTCCATGCAATTACAACAAATGGCCACAAAAAGGACACAAAGCACAATAAAGTATTGTAAAATTGTTCCATATGAATCATATGCTATACTACAAATCATCTGAAACTGTTTGTATGAGAAAATGTGTTGTAAATGTAAGTAATTATTTGCTGAATATCTTGATATCTGTCATACCTCACCTTGGCATGCTTTTTTTTTTTTTTTTTTTAAATAAATGAATCCATTAATCTGTTTCACAATACTCAATGAGTCAGTCACGAATCAGACACTGAATTAAAAAAAACAAAACAACAACAACACAAAAGACAACTCGGCCACAAGTCAACATTTGCAAATAATAAAACCTATTTTGACTACTCAGTACTTACTTTAATTAACTACTACTATTATTATTATTATTATTATTATTATTAATTTCAAATAAATAAATTATATTCAACAATTTTTTTTATAAATTAAAAAAGGCAGCAAGTCAACATTTTCAGTGAATAATACGATTACATCTCTGATTATTTATTCTAATGAATTTTTATTTTCATTATTGAAAACAATTATTATTATTATTAACACATACTTTAACTCATCGGCATATGATGGTTCTTGCATATAGAATAGGATGGTATACTGCATATGGTCCTTACTCTTTTCTAAGCCATCGCCTTGTGTAAATCCCAGAGCATTTATTATTTATGATGTCTAACCAACAAATCCTGATTCACCAATCCATTGGGCTCAGACACACTAGAGTCCAGCTGAGTGTATGTCTCTCTCAGAAGGGTTGAGGACTGTGTATGTGTTTGTGTATATGTTGACATAGTGCCGGGAATATTGAACAGAGATCGTTAAGTGATTGATGAAGCTTCGAGCGGTCAATAACACCTCCGCATGCAGAGTTGAAATGGTCTGAGAGCTGTCCTTGTATAGAGACAGAGAGACTGAACTAAAGCTAGCTGCCGTGTGCAAGATCAGCTAGTTTCATGGACACAGGATAAGTCTAATGACTGACGTAATGGAGCTTTAAAAGAATATTCTGGGTTATTTTCTAAACTAATGTCTATGGACTTCATTTGTGGCATGCTGGCAATAACCACAGAATCCTTTTATTGCATGCAAACAAACACAAAAGACAGTTACAGTAAATCAATCATAATGGAAGCTTTTGAGCAGCTTTTTTGGACTTGACTGGTCCAGATCAGCACTGATTATACTGTGCATTTAGACAACAACATGTACTGTAATGTAATTGTGTTAAAGGCAGGTGCTCTGCTAGTTTGTTGCAATCATGTTTTTGGCTGTTTCTTCAACAACAAAATTAGGGGTGCCCCCTAATAGTCGACCAGAAGAGGCTTGGTCGACCAAAATTTTATTAGTTGCTTAGTCACAGAAAAAAATAATAAAATTCACAGGTGAAGTCACGCAGTCTGTGACGGACAGATCGTTAACTGCTGGTCTATGGTAATACAGTACATCGGGCAGGACATCCAAACGCTCGCCTATCATTCATCGACCTCAAATATGGCTTATCATCTGAAATATGTAAGTATTAGCAACTTTACATGGCCGCTCAATTTAATGTTAACCTAGAGAAATGTGCACTATAGTGTCTGTGCGGAGTGTGGAAGCTAGTAACGCTCTCACTGCAGGACAGATTGAGGCGCCGGTGCGCTCACTTGCTCTTAAAATACTCCGTAATTTTTGGTGAATCCGTATGAAACATGCATAAAGGCACGTCCACTACTGCGGAGATGACGAGTCCGTGTCGCCGAGTTCATCTCTTAATCTGAAAACAAAGAAAGCACTAGTTTATCAAATTATTAAAATGTTAATGCAGTCTCCTTACTGTTTTTCCCTGACACACTCATAATCATTACTTCTGTGGTGCGCTGTGGCAAGATTTATGCGTGTGCTTGAGCGCTTATTAGGTTATGTAGGCAATTAAAGGCTCATTATAATGATTTAAATGGTTTATTAATAAATGTGCGATTAGTCGACTAATGCTTCAAATGAACGACTACTAGTCGACCAGAAAAATCCTTATTCGAGGGCAGCCCTAAACAAAATTGAATGAATGAATGAATTAATTAATGAATATTAAAAGTCTGGAATACGGATAAAAAACCCATTAAAAGTCATATATATAAAATGTAAAATACAAAATAAATACATGTAAAATACAAAAATCAAACAAAAAATTGGTGTCTTTTCATTTACTAATAAAGGATTTTTTTTTTTTTTAAAGTTAGCATACTGGTTTACATATTGGCTGTTGTTTAGATATTTAATTAGATATATAATAATGTGCATCATTTCAAATCAAGCTGTAAAATTCTGAAAATATTACTGAATTGTGTGTATTTAGAATACATAAAGTGCTAGCTATCAAATTAGCCTTAACAAGATGAATCTGACATTACATTACAAAATAAAATAAAATAAACATTTCCACCACAGAAAGCTATTAATAATAGTACATAATTTGAGATTTATGAGCGTTTATGACATTTTAGGGAATAAATACATAGATAAATAAAAAACACCAAAAAGATAGACATCTCCTGTTGCGTATATATGCCCAAAGTTTAATATTGTTATTAAATAAATGTATTAATTTGTAGATGTCATAATTTATTGTTAAAACATAAACTAAAAAGAGTGTTTTAAGAATTTAAGTTTATTTTCTTACAATCCTTTTAAACATTTTAAAATGCTTTTAAAATTTAAGTCCACAAGGCCTAAAAGGCCCATAGTTGCAGAAAAACCCATTTATACATTAGTGCTTTGCTGATACTAAAGTAGGTAAATTGCAGATTAAATGAGTTGAATGAGCGCCAAGAGATATGGTAGCAAAGGGCTAAACTATTGAAACACCTATGGACACAACCTACACTTTAAAATGGGTCATCACCAGAGATCGACCATTTTTGCACACTTTCACACCCTCTTCTGGGAGCTTAGTATGTGCATGCCCGTTTGAGGACGAAGAGTCTGAGGTGAGCAGAGGTGGACGCCTCCCATCCCAGAGGCTCAGAGGAGGATCTGACCATGAGCTGCAGAAGGGTGTCAGTTTGAGGACACAACAAATGAGCGAGCAAGGTTGCCGAGGGGCCTCAGCCACACATTACAGATCAAGACAGCCTGCCTCGCCATGGTATTGTAGAGCAAGACAGCCTGTCTCACCTCTGCCTCTATATAACACAGGACAGGCTGACTCACATTCTGCCTCTATAGCTCAGGACAGCTCATCTCACATTCTGCACTGCGCATTAGTGAGTTACTGTCAAGCATTACGGTTATCATATCATGTTAGTGATAATGTAGCGCTTTAGTGTTCATCGCTATGTATTCAGGGATTGTGGATAATGTAATTGCAAATGTATAGGTCATACCCTTTCCTTTAGCTTGGCCACTTGTTCTCTGTAGAATGCGTCCTGCTTCCGGAGCGCTTTGTCTCTCTCCTCTAACTGTCTAGCCTGTGGAAAACACACACAAAAACACACAATTGGATTCAGTACAAATTCAGTACACTATAGAGGAAAGAAAAAACCTCAGAGTTTCTAGCATCCGTACACCACAAAAAGAGATATTTAGTATGGTGTTCACCCTGCTCTTTTCCATACAATGACAGTAAATGGTCCAAAGCAACGAAAATGACAAAAAGCACCTTAAAAATAATTTAACAGTTGACAATACGGCTTGTTCACTATATTTGAAGCTTCTGAAGACATTTGATAGCTTTATATGAAGAACAGACAGAATGAATGTAAATAAATATTATAAATGTTCATTATAATGCACCTTTCTTATACTAAAAGTGTATTGTTTCTTGTTTTATCCTTGTTCCAGACCTTTAATTAAAAAATATAAATATTGGTGTAATTTCCATCATCACTAATAAGTTTTTTTTTTCCTTCCAAAAGTTAATGTATTTGTTTAAATATTGGAAATCATAATGTGTTTATTGTGGAAAAATCTGTTAAAAAGTGTAAAAATATGAATAAATTGGTGTATTTATGATGCATAAAGTTCTAGCTATCAAATTAGCCTTAGCAAGACAAAAGAGTCTGCCATTTCATTCCAAAAAATTAAAACATTTCCACCACATAATGCTATTAAATGTAGAAATTTAATAGATCAATGTTATTTATAATGCACCTTTCTTATACTCAAAGTTTTGAGCAGTTTCTTAAAACAAGCAAATATAGGAAAATTTAGCTGGACACACCATATTTGAATATAATATGCAAACTTATTTTGAGATTAGCAGTTAAATATGACTTAAATACCTTTTCCTCACAAAAAAAGCTATTGCAAGACTTCAGAGGATGGCACATTTGGAGCACTTGCATGGTGCTTTAAATCATTTTAGCTTGATAGTCCCTGGTCACCATTTACTTTTATTGTATGGAAAAGATTTCTCCCTTTGTGCTCCATGAAAGAAAGAAAGCAAGTCAGGTTTGTAACAACATAAGGCAGAATAAATGATGACAGAATTTAAATTTTGGGGGTAGTTAATAACATAACTTGTGTATATTTCTTCAGCCACAGTTATAACTAATCTAAGTCTTTACACATAGCAGCACCGTAGATTTTCTCAGTAGCAGCACAGTAGATGCAGTCATTATGGCCTCAGGTAGCTGGTATTGTGAAAGATGACACAGACCTTTGATTATTCCAAGGGCATCAGTTCATGACAGGGTTCATGTGGGAATGTTCACTAAAACATCTCTGTGTGTTAGAGGCTTAGCGTGTGTGTGGATGTAAGAGACAAAGCGATAAGATCAGCAGTGGAAGAATAGAGAATCTTTATGGTCTTATCCGTGATTCTGTCCTATCGCACATGCCTCTCCCCCTCCATCACGCCTGACCTTCAGCTACTGGAAATGACCCTCACTAATTTCTAACACACTCGGAGAGGAGATATACTGACAACCATGTTTACTGATTTTAATATTTTTTATTTATGGCCTTTTGTGTGTATAGGACTTAGAACCCTTCGCGATATGATTACTATACACACACACACATACA